GCATGTGTGACCAAAATCCCAAGAGAAGAATGGAAGAGAAGGGATTGCAGTGTGGCCATCCCCCCTGGGGGTGACTTCTCAATTTCAGTCTCTCTTTCTCCAGCAAGCACATGGACCCTATAGCAAAAATCTCTCTCTCTCTCTAAAAAAAAAAAAAAAAAAAAAAAAAAAAAAAAAAAGAAGAAGGTATATTCCTAAACATAATAAAAGTCATTTATAAAAGTCATTCTAAACATAATAAAAGTCATTTATAAAAGTCATTTATTATAAACTCATAGCTAACATTATACTGAATGGAGAAACACTGAAAGCTTTTCCACTGAAAACTGAAGTAAAACAAGATTGTTCAGTTTTTCCACTCCTTTTCAATCTAGTATTAGAAAGTCTAGCCAACACAATCAGACAAGAGGATGAAATAAAACACATTTTAATAAGATAAGAAGATGTTAAATTGTCCCTATTTGCAGATGACATGATTATCTATACAGGGAAATCTAAAGAATCCATGAAATAAAAACCCTGCTGATTTTTGCAAAGGGAACAAGACAATCAAGTGAAGAAAAGCAAGTCTTCAACAAATGATACTGAGAAAACTGGATATCCAACTGCAGAAAAATGAAACTAGATCCCTATTTTTCATCACTATAAAAGAAATCAGCTTACAATAGATTAGAAATTTAAATGTAAAGTTCCAAAATGTAAAACTACTTGTGAAGAACACAGAAAAAACATTTGAAGACATTGGAATAGGCAAAGACTTTTTTAAAAAGTATGTATTTAATTTTATTTAATTACTATTTTTAAAATTTCTACAGGCCACATGTGCTCAGCAGAGAGAAAGTAAAAAAGAGAGAGAAAAAGAGAAAGCAAGCTGTCAGGTCCAAGACTCAAACCACAGTCCACCATGTGGATGTACAACACCTTAACAACCATACCATCTGCCAGTCCTAACAAAGACTCCTTAAATAAGACCCCAAAAGTGTGGGCAACAACTCTAAAAATAAACAAGTTGATTGTAGAAAGCTATGAACCTTTTGCACAGCAAAAGAAACAATAAATAAAAATACTATTCACAAGTGGAAAAAAGTATTTGCAAACTATACTTCAGATAAGGAGTTGATAACCACATACACAGGGAACACAAGCAGTTCATCCACAGAAAATCGAATAATCCAATTAAAAAATGAGCAATTGAGCTGAACAGACACCTCTCAATGGAAGGCGTACAAATTGCCAAAATCATATGAAGAAATGTTCAACTCTATCACAAGGGAAATATAAATCAAAACTATAAATTCTCATTCTCATTCCAGAGCAATCTACATATTCAATGCAATTGCTATCAAAATTCCAAGGACTCTTTGGTACAAAAAGAAAAATCCATCCTAAAATTCATATGGAACCTCAAGCCAAAACAATATTTGTGCTATATCTTGAAGGACTCATACTTCCTATGTCATGTCAACACTCAGTATTATGCTATAGTAATTAAAATAGTGTGGTTCTGACAATACAGACATAATAACCAGTAGAATAGTCCAAAAATAAACTCTTATATATATGGTCAAATGACTTTTGAGGAAAGTGCTAAGATCATTCAATGTAGAAGGGACAATCTTTTCAAGAAATGGTACTAAGGGAACTGAATATTCAAATGCAAAAGAATGAAGTTGGGTTCTTACCTGGCAGTACATATAAAAATTAGATAAAAGAAGTAGATGTAAGATCTAATACTATAAAACTCTTAGGAAAAAACAGAGGTCAGTCTCTGTGACCTTGGGTTAGGTAATGATTTTTTGATATGACATTGAAGGCACAGACAACCAAAGAAAAAACATACAAATGGGATATTGTGAAAATTTTTTAAATTTATGAATCAAAAGACAGTATCAACAGGGTAAAAAGGCAACTTAGAGATTGGCAGAGAATATTGTAGATAATTTATTTGATATGGGATTAATATTCAAAAATATATAGAGAAGTTTTAAAACTCAACAATTACAACAAATGAACAATTCAAAAATGAGCAAAAGACTTAACTAGACATTTCTCCAAAGATATACAAATGACCAATAATCACTTGAAAAGATGCTTAATAGCATTGTCATTAGAGAAATGGAAATCAAAAGTACAATGAGACAACCACCTCACACCCATTAGGATGGGTACTATCAATAGCAAAACAAAACAAAAAAACAGAAAATGACAAGTAATAGTGAAGATGTGGAGAAATGGGAGCCTTTGTGCAATATTGGTAGAAATGTAAAATGCTATGACTGCTATGAAAAACATTATTGCGTTCCTCAAAAAATTAAAAATAGGGGGCCCAGCAGGTGGGATAGTGGTTAAGGTGCTAGACACCCACATGGTCAACCATGGTCAACCAGACCTGATGACTTGCTTTCTCACTTTCTTTCTCTGTCTCTCTCTGATCAAATTTAAAAATGATAATAAATAAAACTTAATTAAAAATAGAACTACTATATGAACATGATGTAATAATCCAACTTCTAGCTATTTATGCAAAAGGATTAAAAACAGAATCTCAAAGATCTGAAAGCAGGTATACCCATGTTCATAATAGTAATATTTACAATAGCTAAACTACAGAAACAAACCACGTGTGTGTCAGTGGATGAGTGGATAAGCAAAATAGCCAATGTAATACAATGGAATGTTAATAAACCTTAAAAAAGAAGAAAATTTTAACATATGCTACAACATGGATGAACCTTGAGTTCATTGTGCTAAGTAGAATAAGACAGTCACAAAAGGATAATTATCATATAATTCAATTAATATGAAGTACTTAGAGTCATCATGACCATAGAGACATAAAATAGAATGGTGATTGCCAGAGGCTAAGGAGAGAGGGGAACGGGGAGTTATTGTTTAATGGGTACAGAGTTTCAGTTCTGCAAGATGAAAAAGTTATGGAAATGGTTGGTGGTGATCATTGTACAATATTATCAATGTATTTAATACCACTTGATCTGTACACTTAAAAATAGCTATGGTGTTAAATATGCTACGTGTATTTTACAATAAAAAATATTTTAATTAAATAACCAAAAATAGGGCCAGCAGGTGTCATGGTGATTAAGGCAGTGGTCTCCCACATGATCAACCATGGTTCGAGTCCTGGACCTGGCAGCTTGAAACTCACATGTGGTATGTATGTGTGTGCATGCCCAAAATCTCAAGCGGAAAATGGAGAAGGGATTGTGGTGTGGCCATCCCCCCTTGGGGGTGATTTCTCACTTTCCCTCTCTCTATCTCTCCCAGGCCAGCTCATGCACCTTCTGGCAAAAACCAAAAAAAAACCAAAACAAACAAACAAACAAATAAAAAACCCACCTAAAACAACAATATTGTTGCCAAAATGAACACAAGATGTTATAACTTGGAGTTACAGAGTATGAGAAGTTGTAAAAAATATCATTCCAATTTTTAGCCCATGATAAGCCACTCATCAGGAATTTTAAAAATAATAATAAAGTTTTTTGGTACTATAATTTTATAGACTGAGATTGTCAGTTTTTAATTTTATTTCTGATAATACCTTTAAAATATAATTCGTCAGAAGAATTGCATTTTTATACACTAACAATGAATAATCTGAAAAGGAAATTACTAAAACAATCCCATTTATAAAATCATCAGAAACAGAATATTTGGAAATTAACCAGTTAGGTGAAATAATTGTATAATGGAAACTGTAAAACATAACTGAAAGAAATCATAAATAACTTGAAACATCCCATGTTCATGAAATAGAAAACTTATTGTTATGATGTCCATACTATCCAAAGCAATCTACAGACTCAATGCAATCTCTATCAAAATCCCAATGACTTTTTGTAGAAGTAGAAAAACTCACTCTACAATTCATATAGGATTGTATGGCCACTGGGATCAAAATAATTCATACTGCCTTCATAGTACATGTTGGTCAAAAGAAGATAGTCACAATTATTACTAATGCATCTTAATGAAGAGGGATAACCCAGTAGATATCTAACCCAGCTTTGTCGGTTATCAGTTGCACACTTTAGACAGATAACTTATCTTCTCTGAACCTCAGTTTTTCCTTATTTAATGTTTTCTAGAAGACACATGCATTGCCAGAGAGAGACAGAAAGAGAAAGAGAGAGGAGAAAGCACCCCCAATGGGGTAATGATCATGCGGCAATCTCTTCTCCATTTCTCCCTCCTTTCAGGATTTTAGGTATTTATATGTATGTGTGCCCAGCATGTTTCTCAAGTCACTGGGTCTGGGATTTAACCGAGTAGTTGTCCATGTGGGATCTGGCTGCCTTAATCACCAGGCTGCAGAGCTGGCTCTGTCCTCCTTTTCTACAAAATGCAGACTAAAATATTTGGAAGATTATTGAAAGGATTAAAAGAAGCTGCTCTAGCAAATAGTGCTATAATGGTAGTTACACTTTGCTGCAAAATTCTTTCTAGACATAATGTATTTCTCCCTTTTTTCAATTTCTTTTTCTTTTTAATTTAATAGAGGAAACATGCGCTTACTGGAGTGAGGCAGAGTAAGAGCTGGAAAATGAGAACGTATCCCATGGCCTCACTACAATCCCTTCTCTTCCATTTTTCCTTTCAGGATTTTGGCCATCCACGCACATGCTCTGGCATGATTTGCAAACTGCTGGGTCCTGTATTGGAACCGCATGGTGGAACACGTGGCCTGGCCATCCTAGCCACCAGTTGGCCCTTCCCTTATTCTCAACGCAGCACTACACATGCTGTCTTCTCTCAAACAATGGTTTGGACTCATGCTGCTGTAATTAGATCTGAATTTCTACATTATAAGGGTTGTGTAATCCTGATAAATTAAGAAGTGTTCCCTCTTGGCAAATAAACTTTAATCTCACACAAACCACTGATGTCATTATAGCTTTTTCAGACTAACGATGAATCCCAAAGGCAGCAGAGGCCCTCTCTGGCCTCAGCATTTAAGAGTGACATGCACTCTGACTCACCTGGCCTGGTTGGGGCCCCACTCATAGCCTCCAGGGCCCTGTTCTGTAGTAAAGCTCCCACAGCACTGGTTACGGTTGGTTCTTTTTTTGGACCCATCTGAGCCCTACCCTAAAGAGAGAGAGAGGAGGTGGAGGAAAAGGAGAAACAGAAAGAGCACAGTTCTGTAACCTCAGGCAGCACCCAGGAAGTAAAACTGTTTATACTTAAAGAGCAGATTGGAGGCATCTACAAGAACCTGTTGTGCCCAGGAGAAGGGGACAGACACAGACTTCAAGCTTTAGATCCCCTGGTTCCCTTTGATACCCTGCTGGTATCAAAGCCATATCTGGATTTTGGAGCTTTCGTCCTGTAATGAAGCCCTTGGGGCTGTTGGTATGTTTATCCGATAAAATTGGTTATATAAAGACAGAAGAAATCACTTAGTGTCAATAAGAACACAGTTGTAGAGCATTTTATTTTTTCATTGCACTTGAGGATGATTTTTGTTTTTTAAACATGAACAGAGACGAGAAACAGAGATTGGCAGATAGCAAATGTTTTAAACATTGAATTCCAACATCCCCACACCATCCCCTTCCCTGCAGAGGAACAGCAGCAGAATAAAATAAGGATGAAAAGTTTCTCCTGAACTCCTTTCACCTTGCTCCTGATCCCACATCCAATCCTGTGCAACTACAGTCTGGAGATCACCTGTGACTGAGAGTGAGACTCCTGCTTGGGCAGTGATGGCTGGGAGTTACAGCAGGCAGCTCATCCCCTTCCAGAGAAAGCTATTTTTAGAGGCCCATGTTGGTTTCTTTTGGTTAAGGCTATGACACATTTTTAAAGGTGATTATGTTTAAAATAGAAACATATTTGACTGTGCCGTTAGCAGCCTTTCACTACTGAAACAATCCCTCCGGTTTTGTTCCATTTCTGAATAGGCTTCACTATTAGGCAAGACCCCAGAGCAGTAAAGCTGGCTGGCACAAGGAGACAGACGTTGCTGTTCAGATACACTCCGCAGAGAGTGAAGGAATGCAGAAAGCAAGGCATTTTTTTCTCCTGTGTTCCCAAATCGCCACTTAGCTGGAGACAAGGAGGGAAGAGAGCCAAGTCTCTGGCTGTACTCGACAAGGCCAGCTGGCCTGCTTTAGGAAAAAGACACCCTCCCGGGTGGTGCTTCTCCCTGTTCTCCGTGGCCCCACGAATGCCGACTAACTTCATGGACTGGTTAGGAGAGCACTTGCAGAAATGTAATTTGCCCTCTACTGCTTGACAAAGTTCAGGGAAAGTCATACTTAGAAACTTTTCCAAAACTAGGTTGAATTCAAGCCCACAGCAGCCACATCCTTCACAAACTGTGGTGCCAACCCTACTAACAGAAAAGGGCTACTAGGGCAGGAGGGAGGGTGGGTCACGTGGGGCAAGGAAAGGCCGAGGAACCCCCACGTGCAAGGCACCGAGCAGCACCGACTCAGCTCTAACTGACTCAACTCTGCAACTAGGCAAGGTATGTGTGATTAATCCAGGCAAGGTATGCGTGATTAATCCAATTTTGCAGATGAAAGGGAATCTCAAAGAATTTAAATAACTTGTCCAAGTTTACCTACAGAAAATAAATTATAGTACTGCAATTCTACAGTGCACTGCTGCCCACACTACTACTGACTCAGCTCTATCCATGGCCCCAGCACGCACAGCTCCTCCTCCTGTCTTATCTACCTAGGTTTATAGCATTGCTATGCCCAAGCTCTGCAGCTGAAAATCTCTATTGTCAACTCTGATCCCCTCTTCTACTCCATGTCCAATTGTTTCTCAGTCACATCAGTGGTTTCTTAAATTCTCCCCTCCCCCTCCCCGTCCTCTTACTCCAGGCCTTCATTCTTTCTGTGTTGCCGCAGCCTCCATCGTGAACAGTAGTCACAAGAGTGATCTTTCTTTGTTGTTTCTTCTCCTTCTGTCTCATTGACCAACAGATACCATTTGTAAGGTACCCGAGTAAGGATGTAATCAAAGATTTTTCTCTTTGTACCAGCTACCAAATCCTAGCCCCATCGCATGAGGGTTGACTTATGAAAGGGCTATACACGTCAACCACATGCCCTTCACATCACATTGTTTCCCAGTCCCCCTCCTTCAAATGACAAAGCCTCAGCTCAGTCAGAATGTCTGGTACACAGTAGATACTCAATAACCCTCTGATACATGTGGCGATAGGACTTGGACTCCCAAGTCTGTGGGATATGCTGTTGTTGGAAAGGGTCCTGCCCCCTTGGATCCTGGTGAGCTTTCTAAACACATGTACTCCTCAAGTAACCAGGTCGACCTAACCTTTTCTTGGTGTCTGAGCCATGTTTATGGAACTCATCGTTTTTATGTTGTAAATTAAGTCCTGGCAACTTTGATGTGTACAGAGCTACTTATGCCTCCAGTGCTGTGTTTATGAATCTATTGTTTCCTGGCTCACGTTGTCATTTTACCTATTTGTACCTATTTGTAAGAGCTGCTTCCAGTCATACACTTATAACCCTTTAACTTGCTGATTCTGTGGTTTTAAAGAAAAGCTGAAGACTCCTCGGCCCTTATGAGCACTAGGGTTTCTTACCTGTGACAGATTCCGCAACACTGGCCAGCTTCACTTCAGATTCACAATTCTTTTTTGGGGTAATAAAGGGTGGTAACCACTAGTGCATAAATTTGAGTTTTACTTAATGCTATAAAACTACTATTTATATCTTCAAGTCTTCATCCTAAGAAATTTCAAACACATTAGAAAATTTTTTTTCCTACACTCCAAAAGAAGCCAACTCCCAGGGGGATGAGTGACAATGACCGATTCTCTCCACCCTTATGCTTTGTAGTATGGGTTGCTGGGGTTCCCCAGCAAATTCTGCTTGCTTGCCTCAGGCAGGCAAAAATACAAGGGCCTGGAGAGAGAGTTTTACCTGAGCCCTGGATGCCAGTTTTGCTGCTGTCTGGGCTGGATCAAAGACTCGGCGAGAAGACTGATCCTTGCAGAAATTGATATGTCGCTTGGCTGCAGTTTCATTAAACCTCCTCATACAATATGGACATTGAATATAATCTGAATGTAAAGATAACACATGGCAATTACCATTTCAAAAGTAACTATAGAAGGGACTATATTAAACAAATGGGATATGAACTCTCCACCAACGTGAAAGAGCAAAGTCCCAAACTCCAGTTTGAGAAAGCTTTTTCCAGAGGGAGAGTGTGCAAGCGCTCAAATAAAGGAGTTGACAGGGACAATATTTTATATTTTACTACCTATGCACTCGTTTAAAGAGTGTGCCTTTAAAATATTTACATGACTTGTGTTTTTAAAAATAGATTAATTATACTAAGAGATTTCCTACTTATATGAATGATTTAATATGGGATTGTCGGAAAAGTCATGATGCATTTTTGCATAGAAAACAGAAAATATACATCATGACTCTTCTGACAACCAATACATCCATGTGCAGACAAAGTAGCCCTGGAATCACAGACCGTTTTTAGCATTGATGGCACAGAAGGGTGTAGAGGATTCAAAAACTCACATGGTGGTACTGGATAGCACAGATCGTCATTCAGAATTTATGGAGTTATAGAGGAAGGTAAGAAATATCAAAATGTGACTTTGGGGACAGAACGACGGGACGCAGAAGGAGGCAGTTCGGAGCTGCTGCCGTCGCCAGGACTCGCAGTAACCAGCGTGAGCTCCGCCAGAAGAATATGAAAAAGCAGAGCGACTCGGTTAAGGCAAAGCACCGAGATGACCAGCTTTCTGCTGCCGCCCACAAGCCGAGTGCCCTATCATCTCTTCCCCCAGGGACTCAGAAATCAGGCAGCAGAAGGAGAAAAAGGCAAACGAGAAGGAGGAACTCAAGCAGCTTTGTGGCTTCGTGTCCAACCCTACTGCCCTTCGCCTGTGTGCCTAAGACCAGTCCCACCCGCTCCCGTGTCTTCCCTTAGGGCTCACAGGTCGCAGAACCTATGGCGCTCCCTTTGCCCTGAGTCTGCAGCGGGTCCCTTTTGTGCTTCCTTCCCCTCAGGTAACCTCTCTACCCCAGGCCACTCCTAGGGGTAAGGGGGTTACCTCTTCCCAGTGTTTTTTGTTCCTGTGGGGCTCAACCCAAAGTATTAAAAGTAGCTTTGTAATTAAAAAAAAAAAAGTGACTTTGAGGCTAGGATTGGAAGCCAGTGCCATTGGCAGAAAGACATACTGGTTTTTTGCAGTGCCTAGATTTTTTTTCACTTAATTACTGAGGAGTCAAGCAATATATTCAGGAAGGAGAGAGTAAAAGGATAAAAGATGGGGGGGTCAAAAAAGGAGGAGTGATGGGAAAGTGGTTCCAGATACATGTTCAGCTTTCCAGATACAACGTCCCAGTCATCTGCTGTTGGCCAGAGGTCCTCGGGAGTTCTGATTACAGTAATACCCTTGTGTCTCAATTTTCCTTTCATTTACACTTAGCAGGCCTATTGGCTAGAGATAGAAATGGGAAGTGAGATAGAGCCAAGGTCTTAGATTGTGGAGCTACTCGCAGCAAAATTAGGTTGGAGCCTAACCCTCTAAAGCAAGCAGGAACTGGGGTTTGCTTTGTTGTTTTTCAGCATCTTTAAGGAATAACAAAGTGATTATGAGTGAAATAAAGGAATAACTTTTCCAGTCCACCACCATAACATGTGTTGGCTGATGCTGCTACACCCCAGGCTGAGGCCCAATGGGAGGCCCAGGTTCAATTCCTGGCCCACTCTGAAAGCTGGGCAAAGTGGTGCCTGCCTGTAGTCTTAGCTTCTTAGGAGGGTGAAACAGGAGGTTCTCAACACAGTGTGATCCTGTCTTAAAAAAGCGGGGGGACAGTAGGTGGCAGGGTGGTGAAGGCGCTAGATTCCCATGTGGCCGACCACAGTTAGAATTCTGGACAAGGCAGCTTGAAAATCTTAACATGCCCAAAATTTGCACATGCCCAAAATCCCAAGAGGAGAAAGGAGGAGAGAGGACTGCTGTGTGACCATCCCCCTCACAGGTGTGACCATCCCCTCATGGGTTGATCTTCCTTCCCCTTTTCCTCTCTCTTTCTCCAGCGAGCATAAGCACCCTACAGCAAAAATCTAAACAAAAACAAAAACAAAAATATAAAACCCTAGCCCTCTACCCAGAGGAAGTGTCTGGGACTGCATCAACCTTAAACTCAGATTCAGTATGGAAATTTGTATTCGAGTTTAGTCAAATAACGAATATTTACTGCAGTGATGTCACCAAAGTCCAAAGTGTTTTAAGTGATCTTTTTAAGCAACTTGGTTATTTATTTATTTATTTTCTTTTAAAAAATCTACAAGAGGGTGGCATGTGCTTGCTGCATAAAGACAGAGAGCAAGAGAGGGAAAGTGAGAAAGTATTCTCCATGGTGAATAGTCACTCTTCAATCCCTTTTCTTTTATGGGGGATTTTAGGCACACACACACATACACACCCCCACCCACACACACATACACATGCACGCACACACCTAGCCTGCTTTTCAGGCTGCTTGGCTCTGGAACTAAATCACCATAACCACCACTCCATGGGCTAGCCTGAGTTTTCTCTGTGAACAAATAATTACCTAAAGAATTGTAAGCACTGAGGAAATTATCTAGTAGTCTCACCCTTTCTTTCATACTCTGGAAGGCAGTATTTAATCACTAATTTAATATTTATCGAACATGTACTTTGTGCAATGCACTTTCTTTTTTTTTTTTTTTTTTTTTTTGATAGTGTTTTACTGTCACAATCCTTCTGCCTCAACCTCCCAGTGGGGACTACAGGCTCACTTTACCATACTGAACTCTTTACAGATAGGTCCTAGCTATACCGTCTAGGCCACCCTGAGCTCACAATCCTCCTGCCCTGGCCTCCCCAAATCACTGGGATTACTGGCATATGCTACCATCCCTGGTCTTTAGATTGGACTAAGAATCAAATCCATGCCTCCCCCGTGGGCCCAGCTTCTGGTGCACAGTGTCCCCATAGTTCATGCCACTGAGGGTAGGCCCCCCAGGCACTGTGCTATACCTGGGATACAATCTCTCTGCAATCATAGGGTAAGCATGCTAATATGGAAATAAATTGATAAAAATTACACACAATGATAAATGCTTTAAGAAAAAATAAAACAGGACAGTATTGGGAAATGGTGAAGAGCTCAGGTCTGGGTCCTGCCTGACAGGTTTCAAGCTGAGTTCTTCACTCGCTATGTGTGTGATCTTGGGCAAATTTCTCAACTTTTTTAAGCTTCCATTTCCTCAGCACCTACATATCACCTATTTCATCAGGTTGTTGTGAAAGTCCACTAGCTCATCCATATGAGGGCTTGGCACAGTGGGAGGGACAGAACATGCTGAGTGGTTTATAAATGCTAGCTGCTGCTATGGAGAAACAGGTCCAGCAAGGTTGTGCTTCTAGCTACCAAGTGGGAGCAAAAGTGCTTAGAAAAATGTAAAACTGAATGTGATAATATTCTGCATTCATTTTTGATGGGGTAGAAAGACCATCTACAACTTGGATTTAGACAGGTGGTTATTTCTTCAGTTTCACCAGCTACAAAGTCAAGACTTCTATCAGAAATACTGCTGCTATAAACCCTACTCAGGCCAGATAAAGACACTGACCCTGGCAACACCCGGCTACTTCCTTAATCCCACTCATTCATTTGCTCACTGCCACCCTGCTATGTGTTTAGCACTACATACCGCCATGCAGGAAACAGTTGACATGTACTGCATTCCCTGCCAACAAACATCTCAGAGGAGACTAGACCAGCACTCAATGGGATAAACCATGACAGGAGGAAGCCCCAGGATCTTTGGGAGCCCACAGCAGGGAAAGGAGGCTTGATGGAGTGGGTTCTGCAGCTGACCAATCATATTGGCTGTATTTATGTTGAACTTTAAGGACTCCTGAGAACAGAGATAAAATTTTCCAGCAACAATAATCTGACTAAGCTGCAAAAGCAGGTTCCCCTGTCATCTGAACTTGAATCCCCTCTCTTTTTCCATTCAATCACTATGTCCTGTTTACTTCAATTGTTAATGATTTCAAAAGCTGGGCTACAAACGAATTTTTAAGAATACAATGGAGTGGGGAAGCAGGTGGCGTAGAGGTTGAGGTCCTAGAATCCCACATAGCCAACTGTGGTTTGAGTCCTGAACCTGATGGTTTGAAACTACACCCAGTGCGTGTGCATGTGTGCCCAAAATCCCAAGAGGAGAAAAGGGATTGTGGTGTGGCTATCCCCCCCTGGGGGGTGATTTCTCATTTTTTCTCTTTCTATCTCTTCAGCAATCTTGTGCTCCTTATCCTATGGCAAAAATCCCTCTCTCTCTCTCAAAAATAAATAAATAAGTAAATAAAAGAGAGAGAATATTATGGGGGGACCAGCAGGTGGTGTAGTGGTTAAGGCACTGAACTCCCACATGACTGACTGATAGCAGTTTGAGTTCTGGATGTGGTGGCATGAAAATCTCACTGGGTGTGTGTGTGTGCATGTCCAAAATCCCAGGAGGAGAATGGAAGAGAAAGGATTGCTGTATGGCTTATCTCTTCTGGGACATGGTTTTTCACTTTGCCTTTCACTGTTTCTCTCTAGCAAGCACATGTACCCTATGGCAAAAAACTTTTTAAAAAATAAAGAGCACAATGGTCTGATCTCATAAAAAATTAAATTAGCAGGTGGCGTGGTGGTTAAGGTCGCTGGACTCCCACATGGCTGACCAGTTCGAGTCCCGGATCTGGTGGCTTGCTTTCTCACTTTCTCTCTCTCTCTCTGTCCCTCTCTGGTCAAATTAAAAAAATAAATAAAAACTAAAGCTAAATAAAATAATCTTTAAAAATTAGAACAATAACCATCACTTTAAAATACAAACATTATGTTGAATACACATATCTATGTAGTTGTATAAAATGGTTTTTGAATACCCCAAGTCTCACAGAATAAATCTCAAGTATAAATAAAAATGAAAATTAATGAGAGTCCCCATAAGCTGTCACAACATCCTGGAAGTTTGAATCATTGGCACACTTAGTTAAGATAGTAA